TAAAATTTCACATTTCTAAAGCAACAGAACCACGGTATCATTATTTTGGCACACACATCAAAAACATGTATAATTAAGAATTAATGTTACATTCTTTATTAAAAGTAATGGGTCCGCTCTTAAATGCAACCATTCCATGCTTTTAGAGGATTTTACAAGTGGTGGTCTTAAAAAGGTGATGTTCACTACCCCAATGTTTGTTTATGTTCTCCCAAAAAATACAGATCTCTTAAAAAGTGACCTCTTAGAGATGTCGTAAATAGATGATTTGCTATAATTATTTTCCGATAGATAATGGAATTAATGTAATTTAATGTCAATAACTCGAGGAAGCAAGTGTAAATAATTCATTTAAAATAAAGAAGTATTTTAAATGATGAAAATATTCATATTTTGTTAATGTCAAATTTTAAAAAGAATTAATTTTGGACAAATTATGAAATCTAACTTTTAATGTCATCTTCTGGTTTCTATATTTATATCTGGCAAAGTTTCATACTCATTATGAAAAAATAAAAATACATGAAGTTCGAGACCCGTAGGACAAGATTGACATTGACCGGGAAATTTAGTTTTAAAATTTGCAATGTTTGATGCCATTTGTAACTTGCCTTCAGGTATCGCTTAATTAAGTTAGAATTATTCGGGGAAATAAGTTTAAATGAAGTGCAGCAAAAATAAGCATAATTTAAATAGTCGTAGAAGGAAGTCATGTGGTATCCATATCAAATTTTCACTTTTTCATAATGGCCAGTAAAACTTTCCCAAATACAAATACAAGAAACTGGGAGACCGCATTAAAGATTAGCTTTCGTTATTTGTCCCGTTATTCGTTATTTCGTTCATCTGAACTGCTAATCCCGAAAGGGTGAATTCTTCCCGAATTCATCCCCTTTCCAAAAACTCCTTGTTGAGAGTGTTATTTGTTGATACAAAGAATGCTATATTATAAATGTCAACTTGTTTTTTACACTTAACAATATGATTGATAAAAACATTTGCACATGTATAGGTTAAGTACGAATTAAGAAAGAACTTGAAAGAAATTTAGAAATTTATAAAGGGTAAGGAAATTTTTATGTTACTTTATTAGAGATAATAGTGAAGCACTAAATATTTCAATCAGTGTTATTGCATAATACTATGAGTATAGCTTTATTCATTTAAGAAATGGCCCACCAGCGGTCAAACGGTAAAATCGCTGAACACTGGTAGTTCCGACCTGAGTTCGATCTCAGGCGAACGGGCTGGCTTCATGGGCATTTTCATGGTTTTTTCCACGTACCAGCTTACAAGGCAGCTTACCACATACCGTACGAGCCAGCTTTCCTAAGAAAGTGCTCTACGAAGGCATTCTTCTTCTTAGGCACATAGCCCTAGTGTGTTTTGGCATAATCAACTAAACCAAATCATTTAAGAAATATATCAGTTGATCACTGCTGAGTGTACATCTGCTGTTTGCTTACAAAAACACTTTGTAAAGACATTTCCACTATTTTGCTAATAGTTCTGGAAAGCTCATAAAATCCGAAATTACATTACACTAGCTAACAGAGAACTTAAGACTTACGTCTGCTTAATGCAACGAAAATCTGCCTTAACTTGCTTTCGTGTCTTTGGGAAACGTTAAGTATATGCAGAAATAAATATTAAAATCTATCACGTATATTTATAAGGATGTAAACCGTACTGTTTTGGTTCATGATAATGATAAATATGCATCATGTTACGACAATTTTAAAAGATTACAAATAATTATACATATGCTAGACTTCTAACGAATTTCTGTTACAATATGAATATGCATTTATTATTATATGAGGCGTAAAATTCAATATTCGTCATTTTTAAATTCTAGGTATATGACAATTTTTTTTTTAAATTTTCATTTTGCTTTTAAAAATTAATTCACTTTATAGCTTTTCTTTAATTTATTATAAAGGAATAGGAGTTTTAAATTTTGATTTATGTATAATATGATATAAATCATCATTCATTAATAATATTTTATGTATAACAAAAAATTATATTAATGTTTGAAATTTAATTTTTTTTTAAATGATTTGTCTTACATTTGTTGTATATTTGTTGAATGTAGCTAAATATTTCAATTATACACAATAAAGATTATGCAGAAAACAATTCAGCTGGCATAACAGCTAATTGCGAAAGAAAAATTAGAATCTTATTGCTCTTAACTCTTAGTAAAAGCAGCCATTTTTAAATTGATGTTAAAATAAATTTATACTATTATCTATTAGAAAATAACTACACTGAATAATTTATTGACGACTTCTAGGTGGTCGCTTTTTGAAAGAGACCTGTATTTTTGAGAACATAAACATACGTTGATATTGAACATCACTTTTTTAAGATGCCAGAGCAAATGCACAGAGCTCCAAAATCCTCTAATAGCATAGACGGTCACGTTTAAAAAGGCTGACTACTTCTAATAAAGCATGTATATTAATGTTAATTATACATTTGTCACATTTTTACTTTCTTTCAAAACGGCGATACTGTGGTTCAATTGCTTTAGAAATATGTGAAACTAATAAAATGGGCTCTATGTTATAAAAACCTAATTATATTCAGATACACACCTTTTGAACATGTTTGAAATCCGTTATTCTAATAAGAATACTTTGTCTACAGAAAATATTGAATCAATAATAGAAATCAAAAAGCTAAGTGTAAAGTAGTAAGAGTCATATCATCTAACCCATTTTAATTGAAGTAAACAGGTGCTTGCTTTATCGTAAAGTGAACACTTGTTTTTCAAACAGCGAATGAAATGAAAAAAGAGCCCACCAGAGCTCGAGCGGTAAAGTCGCTGAACACTAATAGTTCGATCTGGGGTTTAATTCCCGGCTAACAGCTGGCTGCACGGGCGTTTTCGTGGTTTTCCTCAAGTGTAACTTGCATATGAGTCAGTTTCCTTTAAAAAATCCTCCATGAAGTCATCCCTCCCCATAGGCAATAGCCTTAGTGTGCTTTGCCGTAACCGAATAAACCGAAACCGAAAAGAAAAAAAAGGGAATTGATGGTGGAAGGCAGCGACGAAACGTCGTTTTAGAAGAATTGGGCTACATAACCAAATTTCTATCCATACTCTGGTAAAGAGTACATTATTTGCTCATCAAAAGCCTAAATTTAGCTAATGCTCGCCACCTTTCAGCAAATTTCAGCCACAGCCCCCAAACAAGATGATGTCTGGTATTTTATTTCATTACTTATTCATCATTAATTTAAGAATTAATTAAATTTTCATTTGTCTTTAAATTTTTATTGAATTATAATAATAATAATTTAATATTCTAGTTGCTAACTGTTTTATTATTGTAATAGTTAATTTATGTATTTTTATTTTATTTATTTATTTATTCATTCATCTTTCCTGATGGCCTTCCATAGAGGTACTTGGCTTTTTATTTATATATATTATGTACTTTACATTTAATCATAATTTATTTAATATATATATACATATTTACATTTGGTAGTATTACCGATTGCAGTAAAAAGAGAGGTGCAAATCTAGATGTTATAACCGACCCATATACAAAATTTCAACGTTCTACAACTAATCGTTTTTGAGTTATATGAAATGCTTGCATACATACTAACACCTCATGAAAAAATCCCTTTTATGTATCAACTTAGAGTCATGTTAGCCAAAAAAATAATTCACATGGATTCCGTAATCGTCAAAATATGATACCCAAAAGTTTTCTCAATTACGATACTTACTACCTTTTCATTTCGTACAAGGAAGTAAAGAACTGTACATTTCATTTTCATTTCATACAAGGAAGTATTGAAATATTTATATACTACACTTAGGTATTCTTATATAAAGAATACCTAAGTGCAGTATATAAATATTTCAAATCAATAAAATCTTACTATGGCACGCTCAAGGAAAAAAATCAATAATCATCTAAATTTTCAAATTACAAACATAAATCTTAATGTAAAAAGCAAATACAAAATAACGCTTCATGCTATCAAAATTGCTTATCTTCTTAAATATCGACAACTAAATAATATTTCAACTAAAACACATAATGTAAACAAGAGTTTGCCGATGCCCCCCAAAATTAAAAAATTATCTATGAAAAATATGAGCGCATTGTGACGCAACTGTATCATTCGTACTTGAATAAACCGCATCGCGAGTAACGAAATGAATTTGTGAGTACCGAATCGGTACTTCGAGTCAACCAATGTACCCGTTACTCAGTAACGAATACATGTGGTTTGCTCCAGCTGTAGTCTAAAGTAAACGTTAAGGAACCTAGTGAACTGTTAGCAACTTATTCGTGAGTTCAAGTAACTAAAAGTGTAGACTCAAGGGTTAAAATACCCTTTATTTCACTCAAAATGAGACCAACAGTTGGCCACTTTTTTAGGCTTACAACAAAGCCTCCACTCAAGCTTAAATTCAGAATAAGAAATAAGAACTAAATTATAACTAACTTAAAGCTAACACAAGTATCTAATGTAGTTAGCTGTTAATTTAAACTAGCCGCCGAATATCAAAAGGCACGTAATATACAGCTGAGCATAACAGCTTCAAGAGAGATTTAGCCTGAAGGTAAACATGCACTACTCGGACTCCTAGCTGTCTCTTACGAATTGAGCCTTCCTTAAATACTGCTTTTAACTCATTTGCATTCAACACGATTCTAAAAACTCATTCTGGTAGAGAGTTGTAAGTGGAAACAAGAATTGATAGGAGAGCACTTCAAAATTAAAATAACTGTTATAAAATTAAAATATACCTTACAATGCAAAGAATTTTTTGTTTTTCATTTGGCAGCTCATACTAATTATTTGTAGTATAATGAGGTCATTATGACATTTTGCTAAGTGAAATTGATTTTTAACAGTCTGTGTTCAAATTTCGAAAACAGGTTTGAATTAAATTATTTCAGTTATTATTTGAAATTTATTTTATTATGTTATTTTAGTTCATTTATTTTGTTATGCTATTTTAGATCTATTGAAGTCTGGGGCAGTCAGGAAGCTTTACAACGGGAGCTTAAACGGCGTCAGGAAGAAGAACAACAGTATCGCGATAGTAAGCTTAAGCAATTTCTCTTTCTTATTACTTTTGATTTATCATTTGTTGTCCTTTATACATATTTGTAAGTGGACACATGTGAAATGTTTATTTTAAAATTGTTACAGGTTTTCTGTAATTCCTAATATGTGATAATAGTGAAAAATGATGCAGGGCAATTTTTTTCTTTTCTTTCTTTCTTTTTTCTTTTTTTTTTTTAATTTTTTATTTTTGACATGAGTAATATAGCCCTCCATTAGAGGCAAACATGGTGGTAAAATTATTCTAAAAATCAGCAATTCAAAACATTACTAAAGCAAATAAGGGATTCTTCAATTTCCGATTACATTTAATTCATGCTCACATTAACAAGTCTTTGTGTTCTTGGCCCTCACAGGTTTATTTTACGATATGAATGTGGAACACATCTACCCATAAACATATTTTCATAAATTTTAACACATTCAAAATTTCATGTACTTTTACACACATATTTTCATACATTACAGCTCCATCAGCTCATTTGTTTTAACTCTCTCTACAGTTCAAAAACATTTCTGTATAAAAAAAATAATCAAGCAAAATAAAGGGGGAGGGAAATTAGTGTTCATTTGAATAAAAAGCCACTTATGAACTCTTACTTCCCTCAAAGCAGCGTAATTGCAAAAGAGCTTCAGACAAAATGAGCATGTAATGCAGTGCCCCCCCCTTGTGCACAAACTCGAAACACACCCCACTTGTACTTTATGAAGAGTATACTCGATAATTGATAAGAAATCGAATACAATGCAAATTACCTGATAAGCGTAATAGAAATACAAAATATCACACTGTTAACCGCTTGCCTGATTATCCCGAGTTATCCCGGGTTCGTATATATTGCAGTTAATTATTATCCCGAGAAAACTCGGGCAAAGCAGAATTTGTCAGTACGATTTGTTTTATCATGATTTCACTCAGCTTGGAGGAAATGGGAGGAAATATTCAGCTTTTATTGGCAACTCACCAAGTTTTGATGATTTCGCGGTTCTTTTGGCGGGACTGGTTACGTGTTTTCCCTATTGTCTAGTATATGTTGGCTTGTGGATTAGTAATGTATAAAGAATGATAGTTGCGTTGAAAAAAGTAAAATAATGGCGATGATGCAAGATAACGAAAGCGATGATTTTTCAGATAGTGATTATAAACTCAAGGCATTTTCCAGATGTTATTCCTGCTACTGAAAAAAAATCAAATCCAATGAGTCAGTGTCCTCTGTGCTCCCGCAAAAGAGATTCCAGAGGTAAGCCAGTAAGAAAAGAGACCAGATACCAGTGTATAGAATGTTAGATATCACTTTGCATCGTCCCTTGTTTCAAAAACCTCATACAACGACTAATATTTAATTTTTTTTATTTGCCCGAGATAACTCGGGATAGTGAACTAATATAAAAACTAAATGCTTTTACACCTGTAAAAAATTAAAAATTCAACTTAGAACCTATATATTTTGTTTTGTTTCGTTTCCTAGTATTTAATAATAAAATAAAAAAATGTGATGATTTTTTGCAATTTTTTTCAAAAAAATGTGTAAGGGAAGCGGTTAAGCATATTACATAAATATACTGTATTTAATGATATTTGTTATATAAGACAATATTAATGTAGCAAGAATCAAGTTATTTCAAATGGATAAGTTAACTCGATTGATTGTTTATGTTTGTCCTTATAAATTCGAACAAGGTGCAAATATGCATGTGCATCAAGACTAGTAAAAAGCTTTTTGACAATATGAAGTGGCTGTAGAAATTTTGATTTTGTGCTTCTTTCAAGTAAATCTGTTATATCCTTTTTTAATATCCTTTTATGGTGATGAATTTACAAAATTATGTGCAGTTCTCTATTGCACTAAATAATAATCCTTCCATTTTGCTCAGAATTAATGTAAAAGTTTAGTCTGATACAACTTTTGACGAGTCAGATTTTCTTTTGTAGAAGATTGATTGCCAGACTTTCAACAAAATGTATGGGGTAGTTAACATTATCTTAACCAGAAAGCCAAAAATGGGCTGGAGTAAGAGGTTTGGGTTCATCTAACTCATTACTTATATGTGAGTAAGGGTATCTGTGATTTAATGACAGTTCGGTTTCAATAAAAATGGTTGTCATTTGTTTTACCAAGGATTTTCCTCGTAGGATATTTTATATTTCTCCTCTTTCATAGAACCTGCCTATCCAGGAAGCATGAGGGGTAATAAACTGCCATGTTATTTGATGTGTCTCAACGAAATTTTTTTAATCAGAATCAGCCAAAATGTGGGGAAAACCTTCCAAAAATTTTGTAAATAAAAATTAAATGTTCCAGATCTTGGGGTATTTTTTTGAACACTCACATAAAATGTTTGATCTTTGATTGAAATGAAACAGGTAACTTGCAAATTTCCATGACCAGATAAAAACTGAGTTACTTTAAGATTAATAAACAGGAAAAGACTCAAAAGGGCTTTCAATAACTCTTTGGAAGGCTAATATTGATATCAATGGGTAAATTTAAAGCATCTTTAATTCAGAAATCAGCTCTTTGATTTCCACAGAATCCATGATGACCATGCACATAAGCAAAACAAGCATCAATTTCCCTATTTCTAAGCAAACTAACTGCTAAAAGAGTTTTGATTACTAGTTTGTCGCTGCTGGTAATACTGTTCAAAAGGTGAAGAGAAGAAAGAGAATCACAACATATAAGGTATCTTGAGGATGTTATCCCATTATCCTTGATCCCCTTGACAACAAGATAGATACAGAGAAGTTCTGCTTGAAAACTGTGCATTCATTTCAAATACGGTTCATAAAATACCAAACCTTAGATTGGTCTTCAGAAAGAACCAATGCTAGACCAACATTATTGTTAATTTTGCTGCCATCTGAAAAGAAAACAATATGAAGATTCATTTCAGTAGTCTCTTTACAATTGCAGAAATTTATGGGCTCTAAAAGTAGTTGGATGAGGAATATTGGTAAAGGGAACATTTCCATTTTTACATTCTTCCAAAACATCATTTGCCAGTGCTTAAAAAAAGATTATTCTTATTTTCTGTTTTGAAATCAATAGAACTCCTAAAGAACAAAAGTAGCCTCATAACTTAATATTCTATAACCACTAATAATGCAAAAAAGAAATCTTCATTGAATCTTTCTCAGATTCCTTTAGTTAATAAGAATGCTTAATGATGCATCAGACAACAAAAAATTTACAGGTTTTTATCTAAGACCTATTAAAAGTGACTTCCCATGATGACATGAACATTGTTAGCGTAATGTTCAGATTCGTCCCATGTTAATTATAGTCTGTCATTTACTCAGTTTGGCATTTCACAGCTTTAGCAATGTTGTTTTTCAGTGTTGATGTATATAATATGTATTGTATCTGTCAACAATATATATTGTATATGTTTGTTGTTGAATGTTGAGCCCACATCCCACATGAGAACAAAATTCATATTTTTACTGTTTTAAAGTCAGTGAGAATTATTAATATAAAGTGATATTCAATAAATTTGAATGTTGCCTCAAACTGTATTAAGTTCCTTGGAGCATTCAGTTAGATTTGAGATAAAATTTGGATTAATTACTCAGCATCTGTAAACTTCAAAAGTATAATCATTTGAAATCCATTGAATCAATTGAGAAAATTTTTCTCGAAGAATAACATTTAAAGTCATTTTGTAGTTTTCATTGCAAATAGTGAAATATGAAATGTAATTAAAAAAGAATGTTTTAATTTATACATGCTTGTTCAAAAACATTTTGTCTATAAGAACTGCAGAAAGACAGCATTTAAAAAGTTAAAAGGTGTAAATTTGGTGAGCTTGTTTGTCATGGTTTTGTTAAAAATAGACTGTAAAGGTAATGATGTTTGTTAGTAGGTGTGATTTTGGGTGGGTTGAAGTTTATATTAACTGGAAAACTATTTTACTGTTTTTAGTATTAAAATAAAATTAATACTATTATGCTGCTGCGTCACTGCATTAAAAAGATAGCTGCAAAAGGTAAAATGTTGAAATTTTTAAGGTAAATTTATTCAGATTTAGTGAGATTTCTATTTTATAATAAATAGGTAGCTAGCAATTTAAGGATAAACAGTGAATGCAATTTGTAGAAATGGAAGGGGAAACACTTTTTTTTTTTTTTCCTTGTTGTTGTTAAAAAAATTACAGACTAATGTCTGCAGAGAAAACATTAAAAGTTTTCATTTTAGAATTTAGTTCTCAAACTGAAGCTGTGTTAAAATATTAGTTCTTTTAAAAAATACATTCCATAAACACTTAAGTGTTTGAGCATACTAATACCCCTGTAACATAAAGCAGTTGTGGAATATTATCAAAAATGATTGACTTTCTAGTGATAAGAATAATGTGTTACAGCATTAGCTAAATTATGCTGAAAAAGAATACGAAAGATATCTGAAAGATAGTATTAAAGAAACAAAGTTTAGGCCTGAAGTATGTATGTTTTGTAAATGGTAGAAATAGATGCTAATATCAAATTAAACATTTAGTTTTTGCACATACCAGGTGAAGTAGAAATAAAAAAAAAATCAAATAAACAAAACTATGACTTACGACAGAAAGCTAAATTAAGAAAAGATCATTTCATATTTACTCACTGTCCATTTGAAGATCCCCTGACTCCATCAACAGGGTTTCCTGTGCCTTTATTCAAACTAAATGTAGTTAACTGAATATGGTATAATAAGTATACTAATAACAGTGTAAAATATGAGATCCAGAATCATCGGGACTTTGATGGTTCTATATTTTAGATCATTAGTTAAAACCTAGTAACACGACATGTAGAAATTCTGACACTAAAAATGTGAAGTAGTGTTTTATGGGATAATAAAACATTTATGACCTTTAGAAAATGAAAATTTACAAAAAAAAAAAAAAAAAAAAAAAAAGAGCTGTACATTTATTTTGTTTTATTTCTGCTAATATTTCCTCTTTAATTTTATAGATAGACAATTTCTTATTCATTTAAAAGTTCTAGTGTTCAAATCCTGTAACTGGTTTCGTCGAGAATTCCCACTAAACTGTCAACTGAAATCTTAATTCTCAGCAACCTCTTTGTCACTAACTTCACTATTAGTAATATTTCACAGATTTCAAAACCATATTACAGATTTTACTGTCCATTAGTTGACTGATGATTTGGGCGGCATAGTCATCCCAATGGAAAACTTTTTTTATACTATCTTCCTTTACTACCACTTCTGTACTTTTTTTCACAAATTCCATTAATGGAAAAATTTCACTTCTTTCTTTTGATATCCAGAAGTCTTCAAATTTGGTCATCATCACCATGATGACCTTGCGATGCTGCACGTAACAGAAGTTACGTTAAAACATTCCAAACATTCTAGAATGGTCTTGCTACAGATAATATAATTTAGCATTGATTTAAAAAGGCTACTTTACATCTGGATTTCAACATGCACTGGACTTGATATCTATTGATTTAATGATATGTGTGTACAGTTTGGAGAAAAGGAGATGGAAACGTTATCATTTTAAAACTTTGAGTGAAATGCGAGTCGAAGATTTGTCTTTATACTGAACAATTTTTGTTTCATCCAAACCAACCAGTTTCAAATATTGCCAAGCCTCAGGTGTGGAATGATCTACAAACCACTCATTTAGTAATATTTATGTCCAGACCTGGTGGCAGAGTAGCTGTATTGAGTGGCAGAATTTGGTAGTAGTTGAAGTTGTGTTACCAGTGTTCTTTTATTTGAATGGTAGATGATGAGGGAAATCTTTATTCCTTTAAATTCCCTAGATCATTTATTTTTTCCAGTCATGAAAAGTCTACATTTGTGCATTCCTGCAGTATGTGCGGATACCAAAATCATTAGTCTTGGTGTGGATGCTTTGGCACCATTTGGGTGGCCTCTGCAGAGATCGCCAAGCTATTTTGGATGCCCTCTATGTTGCCTATATATTGCCTGAAAAGATTAGTTTGCTGATTGATATAAATTTGTTCAAGAGGTAAATTTTTCCTATTAATGTGTCTGATAGTTCATCTGCAAATTGTTCAGATACTTCATTATCAATAGAAGTTTTTTTGCCTGGAACTTTCAACTACGTTATACCATGGCAATTTTTTAATTTGATTAACCAGCCTCCTGAGTTATGTGCTCTCAGTTTTAAGTTCATTTGCTCGTGAAATATTTTGGCTTGAACCATTAACATTGGACCCTTCAATAGCATGCTATTAGTACAATGTTGTCTCGCACTTTCAGTCATCCCTTTGTCATGATCATCACTTTTAAGATAACGAATGATTCTTTTTGTTAATCATTGCAAGTGCGCTATCAGAATCAATAAAAAATTCAAAAAGTTCTTTTTTTTCCCTCATTTTATTTTTTATGTCTTATTCTGTTGATTTCCCAATGACATACTCCTTGTATAATTTTGAGATGAGTGTGATTTCATTCATTTTTTACGACAATTCTTCTGCTTGCTTGCTTGGCATCAAAATATGCTTTCACTCTGAAGATTCTGCCACAGTTCCGGGATTAGAAACGCCTTTCGACATAATTGAAAATTCAAATTTTAAATTAAATAGGATAGCTCTATAATAATAGTTTGAGGATATAATAAGCTGTATAAGTAATAGAAGAGGGCAATTTGCTATGCTAACTGAACTTATTCCTCGGGATGTTTCTATCATCTCTTCTGCTATGCCTAAAAAAGATAATCAGTATGAGCAACATCACATTTGAAACAAATATGTCTTGGGGGCTTTACTTTTTGTTTGAATCAGATGGGAAAATGCTTACTCATGCAACCACTCAGTGGCTGAAAATGTGGTCATGGCCGGTGTCAATACATTGCCAGTCAGTGTATTGTTATTGGCTGTGGTGCAATTCTCTAGTCAAGTGTTTGAAAGTTACATAGCAGAATCTCAGTTAGTCAAAAGAAGACTCAGTTCTATGGCTCACCTTTTTCTCGAGTATTATAATTTTCATTCCTAGACTTTGTAAGGAGAAAAAAATTTATCTCCCCATCCCTGAAAAAAATTGCTGATGGTCTGGAAGCCTGGATATTGGATGACCGGTTTCAGACTTTGTACTGTATATATTAATAGAAAAAAGTTCAAGATTTAGTGCATTAATTTTACTCCAGTGCATTCAGTTACCACATGAACAGCTATAGATACCACATGCACGAACATTGTACTGCAATATTCAATTAAATTGGTATTCAAGTTGAAAATTTATTGGTGCATCTCTTATTTATCTATTCCCAGCTTATTAAAACTAATTCGGACCTATTTTGGTTTCTACTTTTTTGCCAGGTATCTGATCATTGTGTTCCAGCTTGAGTGTTGAGTTAACATTTGATTATGAACAAGCCTGAGTCTCAATTAAAGTAGATCTATAATGCACACAAGCAAGCTGAACTGTTCAGAATAATTTATACTTAATGGAAAAAGATGTAGCTTAAATGCAAAGCAAGCATTTGCCCCAATGTGCAGAATTTATATCTTATTATGGGAAATAATCCATTGTCTTTTGAGCAATATTCTGGGAACTGACTGGTAAGAATATTGTTTAACGTAAGGATTTTCCTCATTTCTTCATATCCACATTAGTTTTGTAGCTAAAGTAGAAGTTCAGAAGTGAAAGTTTAATAAACTTTTAACTAATGAATCAGATTCAGAAAATATTGAATTTTAAGAAATGATTGTGAGATGTTCAAGTTTTGAAGTAATGAAACATTTTGATATATTCATGATTTCTGAAGAGACGAGCAAAGCTCTTAATTTCAGGAAACAGTCATAAAACTAAAAATTATCTTATAATTCTGAGTCAGTTCAAATTTTTAGGTGTTGTCAGTGTGAAAGAATGAATATTTTGCATTGATATGTTATACGTAGCTTCTGTTTCAAAATTAAACTCCAACATTTTGCAGTATCCCAGAAAATGAAGGCAAGTTTTTTAAAGCAATTATGGAGGGGGGAAATTATTAATTCATAATGGCAAAGCTCTCTAAAGCTACCAGACTAAAGGGAAGGGATGTCTTCATGGAGAATTTTCTAAAGAAATTGATTATCATTCAACTTACATGTGAGGGAAACTATGGAAAGGTTCATTCAACTAACCCATTAGCCAGGATTTGATCCTGAATCAAACTACCATTGTTCTAGTGATCTTATCCACTTGGCTATTGGTGGGATATGAGAAAATTAGATGCCATTTTCTGTTACTACTGTTGTGGCGTATAGTGCTGAAGGTTTTGATAACTGCCAAAGGGTGAATGGAATTTGTTTTATTTCTTATGTTCTTTTGCATGCAACTTCAGGTAGAAAAATTGTCTTCTAAAAGGCAGTAGCTGCCTGTTGTTTTAAATGTGTTGTGCCTTTTCTGGTGCCATCAAAAACCACCAGAGGATGAATTTTGCCTTTTATTAACATTGCTCATTTTATCATATTTTAAGCATATTTTATGTGTATACATGTCATATATGGATGTCACATTTTTTAAAAATGCAGTATATTCACAAGTTTGGTAGTCTGAATTTGTAATTTTCTATATTTTATTAATAGATATTTTCCATGTGAAAAGAATTTTGAAAGAATATACTCGCTCTTCAATGCACAAAGAAGAACGTAAGGTATCTTTGAATCTATAAACTCTTTATGTAAAATCTGCATTGTATGTTTTCTTCTTTATCTTATCTGTAACTAAGAAAGTTCATTCTGTTTCTTTATTTTATCACTATCAAGTGGTACATTAGCACCATTTGCCAGCCAAAAGTATGATTATCCATGCTTAAACAAAGGCTTGTTTATTAGAGAATATACTTGTGTCTAATATTTATGGAAATTAAGCTCTTAAAATTTTGAAAAACTGTAATTATGTCAAAATTGATTATTTACATTTATATAGTCTATGAATTCAAATTGGACACTAGGCCTTGGAGGTTAATCAGAAAATATCTGGGGATTTGGTGTTGATAGAGTGAGTGAACATTATGGTCACAGTATTTCAGAAATTTTCATCTTGTCGATGCTTTTTGTTTTGACAGTCCATGAGGCCTTTATGAGATCCAGCTAGAGAGCTGAATAAAGTAAAGTTTGTCAGAAATTTTTAGAACAATTAACATGAGTGTTGGAACCATCAGGGCCTATTTGTGTGTGTTTGGAAAGAGATGTAAATTGAGAGCGATCCTTGCATATTGAGTGAACAAACAAGCTCTGGAGGTTAACCATTTGCTTTTTCTTTTTTCTTTTTTTTTTTTCATGTCATAGAACTGAATAATTTATGATTGATGTATTTACCTATGCAGTTAAAATTGTATACTTCATATTTTTATTATTAAGTATTTACTGTTGGTTGTCATCAAGAGCCTCAAAGACCATTGATAGCAGAATCCAAAATCTATCAATGAAAAGTGCTACTTGGGGTTTTGGTTCACTTTAAATGTCTACCAAATGGGGAAACCATGACATAAGAAATCTGGTACATTTGTAATCACTTTGGAATATGCTGCATTGTATTATAGATAAGAAATTGTTTCTTGCTGCTAGAAGAATGGTAGAACTATAAACAGCAAAAGCATCTGAGAAATTATTACTGACCCGAGTTGGAAAATTCTACTTCATTTTTTATACTCCCCAGGTATCATAACTTTGGAATATCATCTTTTCTTGGTAAAAGACAAGCATTTACAAAATTAACAATTTCAATATCAGGAACATCCTGAAAAATAGTTAAAATACATTTTTGATAGCAGGGGTTCGCTTAGAAAGATTGAGGTGATAGTAAAATGGTGTTACATTTTTGGGGAGATGTAATAGAAGCCAAATATAACTACTTTTACAAAATAAAGAATTGTTTAGTCTATATTGTGCATCATTTATATGTACTGAATTAAAATGTTATGAACTTTCTTGGTCCTCAGTGGCATATTTCTATGTGTATACAGTATTAATTTTTGATTGAAATTTTTATATGTAGTGAAATATTTTATTAATAAGTTATTATTTTGACTCCAAACAGCGCCAAGAGATGATATTACGCACATCTGGAAAGGTTGTGATGACAGCTGTGATAATGTAAGGTTTCTGTATGATAATCCGTATACAAATTTTTGTTTGAGTACTATGCATATCAATATATATTATGTTTTATAAAAGTTAACTGCTAATTTTATATGGTAAATATAGGATTTTTCAAAATCCGTTTTACATAAACATTGTCTTTCAACTGCTATATAAACTCAAGCAAACCCCGTTATAGCGAACTCAGCTTATAATAATTGAATGTCTATAACAAACCTTTTTGTCCTGTCCAGTTTCCCGTATACCAGCGGTTCTCAACCCTTTGACTAATACGTACCATCTAAACAAAAATTGAAAACCTCTAATACCACCACTCATGAGCAAAGCTCGGATTGCATAAATTTACGAGTGTTAGAGAAAAAATTCAATCAGGATGTTGAGGTTTTAATTTTTGAATTTATTAGTTAAAAATACTTTGCTTCTTTGCGTACCACCGGTTGAGAACCCTTGCCATATATACTCATATGCAGTATTAAGAGAATTTGAAAATTATGTCTATTTTTGTGAAAAAACAACCAATGAACCAATGTTTTTATGAGCAAAATATATTAATTATGCTGCTGAAGATTTATACAAATATTCCGAGTCAAATATGTAAGCATACATCTGTGTCTACAGAGCTGTGATTTAGGAGAGGATGTAAGCACACAAAGGATTTTCGGCAGTTTGGTGCTTTGTACCCCTTTATGACATTTGGCATGTTTTTAGCAAGACTTGGGTAAATTTTATAAGGTACCAGTGAAATGAGTAGGCACATGGATGATGGGATGAGATGGAGAATAGTCAGTCGACTTGAGACATGGAGCAAAATGGAGACATGGAGACAAACACAGGTGGCTAGCGAGCTGAATGTAATGCCCAGTGTCATTTGAAATTTTTTGAAATGGTTTCATGACACTGGATCCACATCAAGAGAACCTGAACAAGATCGACCAAGATCCACAATGATAAATAAAGATCATTACTAGTGATCAATGTAATGCCCAGTGTCATCTGAAATTTTTTGAAACGGTTTCACGACATTGGATCTATATCAAGAAGACCTGAACAAGGTCGACCAAGATCCACAATGATGAATAAAGATCATTACTTGGCACTTTCAGATCAGTGGTACAGGAATGCTACAACTTCACAGCTATTACATGAGCTGTATGCTACCATTGGAACCCAAGTTTCATGGTCTACAGCTGACCAAAGGCTTCTTGAAATAGGCTGCATGCCAGAAGACCTGCTGTTTGCATCCCGCTCAGTGCAGCACAAGCGAGCACTTTTAGCATAATGCAGACAACATGAGCCTTGAACCAGACTTATGGAGCACCGTGCTTTTTACTGATAGCTGGAGATTCAGCCTGGATACTGATTCTTAGTGTACTTGTATCTAAAGAGAAACTGGAACATAAAATAATTACTTCTTCAATAGGGTAAAGGATCATTACAGTGGTGGAGGTGTAATGGATTTAACAAGTATTATTTTTACACAGCCACACACCTTTGCATGTGTTTGACAAAGGTTGCCTGACTGCTGTGAGGTATGAAGGAAAGATTTTAGTTTGACCATGGTTCTATGTTCGACTTTTCAGTTATGTGGTTGATACTGAGTTCCTCTTAATGGACGACAACTTATATGGCATAGGGCTCAGCTGTTTAATGATTATCTGGAAATGGATTGGGCAACAGAAATCCTGACCTTAACCCTGTGCAGCATATCTGGGATGATCTTGTAAGGGCAGTTTCAACTGCCTTGCTGCAGAAGTGAGATCAGCAGCCATAGAAACTCCTCACCTCTTCCTGACCAGTATGCTTTCGTGCTGCCTGACCTGTCTGGTTGTGAGAGGAGACCATACCCCATATTGAGATGGATATCACAACATGGATTCTGGACATCTCTGCATTATATTCTTTACTGATAATCATGCATACATAAAATGCCTTTTGAATGCTATATCTTTTTCTTTGTTATAAATGTATATTCATAGCAAATTTCATGAAAATTCGTCCATTAGTTCTTCAGAAATTCAACATAATGTGCAGATGCTCTTAATTTTGCACACAAGTCTACTTAATGTTGTTTTATAGAGGCACGGGAAAATTCTTGATGTATGAAAATTGGGTACAACAAACTTTATGAGTAACTTCAACTGACTCTTTTGTATTTTCATATTTTTTTCAGAATATCTGCAGGTTTTAACTGAAGAATTATCAATTATTGAAATTATCTATGTTAAGGATGCTAGGATTCTATCCATGGTAGAATAGTGAAAAATGCTTACCAGGACAGTTTTTCTTAGGAAACATATGGTATCTTTTGCATTTGAATAAAAAATTTTGAATTGGTTCTCTGGTTCCATTCAAGTTCTTTGACAAAGCTGTGTCCAAATTTGATGCTATGGTGGAAATTTTTGCTGTTTAGAGAAAGTAGTGAATATATATTTATAAGCTTGGGGATACCCAAGTGATTTATCTTTTAGGACATGGAAATTTTGTATCTTTCTTGGTTTGTTTTGTGTCAGTAATTAAAATGCCAGCAAACTTCTCGCTTCTAAATGGGGGTTTTGGCTTCTTTATATCTTTAACAAATTTATGATGTTCTTTGTAAGGGCTATTGCACCTTTGCTCAGCAACCATGTATATCTTGGAGGAACTGAGCGTATTTTCATTTGGCATATGACAGATTCGTGATCTTATAACTAACTTCACTTTTCATATTTTTTGTAGCTATGAAACTTCACATATACTTTTAGTAATTACTTCAGTTTGTACTGGGAAAATTTTCTGTGTCAAAAATCTATCCATTTGCTGAACAATAAAGACATGGCATTCTTTATTAAAAGTAAGATAAGTATTATTTAAAAAATACAGAATGAAAATACCCAAACTGGTATCTCTAAGGGATATAGTTTATCAAAATCTATACTTGGTACCATGTGGAAAAATCGAGACTCAGTTTCTATTCCTGGGGAAAATGTTTCGATACGAGGGAAAAATTTAATAAACAAGCCGAGCATAAGTATAATTAAGAAACATTGTTGAAATGGTTCGCCATTCAAAAGAAGCCACATTCATTACCAGGGCATGTCCTATTTATGAGCCTGTATTTTAGATGGGCATGTTATAATTAAAGGGACATATCTAAACCATGACTTGTATGCTGAGTAATTTATTGTGTAAAATTATTGATATATGGTAAAACTGGAAAACTGAGGAAAAGAAAGTAATTGCTAATAATAGTACTTTTAATGAAACATTGATATTTTTTTAATTAGAGTTATATTTCACTTCTTTTGGGAGATGTGACAATGATAATCAGTTTTTTATTGATATATTTTTACAGGGTTTTGTGAAATTATCTACTTTTTTCTTATCAGATCAGGTATTAGCCAGCCAAATTTCTGGTCCTTTGATGTTTGTTATAGCAGGGTTCAGCTCCATTTGCATTGAGTGAAACATTTATCATAAGCATGTACAATTGAAGGATGTGAAAATTTCATCATGTCTGCAATGTTTTCATTGTAATAGTTACAAAACAAAAAAGTCAATATATTTCTTCCTCAATAATATACAGTTATTACATAAGAAGTTAAGAGATTTAGTTTTTGTTACTGCAAAAGAAGAATGAAGGTTTTTTTTTTTAAATGATGTAAAAATGTATAGTTAATCATTCATTACCAAATAGGAGAAAGATATATTTGAAAGATTTGAGGAATTAAATTTTGTATTTTTGAAGAATTTATGGAAGTTTTAATTTTGTACACAATCATGAATACTTACCCCAGGTGGCACACTTCCAAAAATAAACATATAATAGAGAGGAAATAGTGTATTTTTTGTGTTATTTAAATATATATATATATATATATATATATATTATATATATATGTGTGAAAGACCAAAGATAATGTTGAAGTGCAGTTTATAAGAATGAGCTGCTGCTTTGAATGACAAAAACAAATAGAATCAAAATTCAAAAACAAATTCATCACAAATAGCTACTTGTTGTCATTCAGCATAAAAGAAATATAAATATCAATATTAACAAAACGTTAATTTTACGAAATAATTAAACTCAGCCAACAATATAAAATACTTTAAATTAAAGGTTACTACATGTGCAATAACTGAGTTTCTGTGCAATTATAATTTCCACACTTTAAAAAAAATATAGGCATCTAGATGTACAGAAAAAAGTATCCAGCTTCATGGTATTTTTCATTTATTTCTACAAATATATGAATTCCGAATATCTAGTGATTTTATGCCCTTTTAAATTCTTTTCTCGCCAAACATGAAATAGGGAAGACTATGCAAACAGAATTTTTATCAGCATTTTAAATAATTTGAGTTTTAAAAATGTTCTCTACCCCACCTAAAAAAAGTCATCAAAATTGAAAAGTAAATCCTAGATTCTGGTATATTACATAAATTTTTCTGAAGTCAGTAAGAAAAATGAGATGTAAAAATGCTTTCTTTTTATAAAGATTGGCGAGAAGTTACTAACTTATTAAAAATGTGTTTCAGGTAAGGAAACAATCAGCCATTAAATATAATTCTTATATTCTAAAGCAATAGTGAAGTCATCACACAGATAATTTTTCTAAATGGCATTCTGAGTCATCAAAATGAATTTTTATGTTATTAAAATGTGTTTTATGAAAGAAATATTAATTTGTAAAGGGTTAAGAATGGAAAATCATTGTTTAAATGTCGTTTCCAAGTTTTGCTGTCTATTTTATTTTTGATACCTCAACATCTAACCTATCCTAACTATAAATCAGAAGATCTTTTTATTATAATGATGTTTTGCATTAATAATCTAAAGCAAAATTTAATTAAACAGAGATATAAGTGCATTAGTCAGAGAATAGTAAATTTTATGAATAGAGGATTTTGTTATAAATTTTTTATAACCAGCTGAAAAGAGAATTTTTGTGCTTATGTATGTATTTTGTTTTTAATTAGAATGACACTGTATCATGTCTAAGGCTCATTTTAATTTCCGTTGAATGCCATTTAATATGTGTAGGCTGTGAATAATAAAATTTAAAGGTTTTCTTTCAACAGTCGCTTCAATTGTAATTTTTTTAATTCTTTGTCTGTTATTGACTTAAAAATTCTCTTCAGTTACGTGAGAGAATCAGACCAATAAATCAAAGCTTGCAATTATATGTGAGTAAGCGTATATTGTTTTTAAGATGGCCAAAATATTTATAATATTAAATAATTAACTGGAGCACGCATTTTAAAAATAACCGAGGTAGTATAAAATTTGAAACATTAATCTAATAATAAATTTAGATAACTAAAACAGATTTTAGTAATCAAGAAAATTTCATATAGCAGAGAGATTCATAGGTATAGCTTGAAAGTAGAAAAAATTATAGGATATTTTGTTCAGTCATATAAATCATATATTTTTGGGGGGGTATTTTTCTTAAAAATATATATATATATACACCAGTGACTGTACAATTTTTAAACCAAAAATTTACACAATTTTTATATTTTTCAATTCATCTTAAATTATTAGCTACATTTTATAAGAGTAATTATTTCAATATGAAGTCCTACAGTATTCATTTATATTTTGGAAAACTAATATAAGCTTCTAAGCTATATAATAAGCTAGTATAAATTTTGCATAAGTTCATTGTATTTAATAAATACGAAAAAGGTCTAAATGATGTGTTTTAAATACTGCAAAAGAATTACCATGCCTGATACAGATTCTATTTGACTCATGTGTAACCGAAAACACAGACATGTCAAAATGATGCACATTTAAGATGACATTTTTGTACTTTAATTGTAATGTGCGTATGTTATTACATGCTTATATATGCAAAAGAAATACTGTACATAAAAAATGTGACAGTGAAAATTTATGCAGGTTTTGGAAAACATGCTCATATAAATGCATTAAAATAGTAGTTGAGGATTTATATAAATTTTTACCAAAAATGTGCATTTGTTTGCAGTAAAAAGCAGATGAGTTTAACTTAAATTTTTAGCAAAATTGTATGTGAATTATAAAGAAGAGCAGATTTTTGCCATTTTTGACTAAAAATATATGTTTATGCAATGCAAAAAATTGGAAAAAATATGTAAGCAATAAATGTATGTAAATCCTCAAAATATACAAAAATTATACCTTAAACCTATGAATAAAGTATCAAGATATGTAAACTTAATTTTATTGAAACGTAAAAACAGACATAAATGTACACCATTTTTTCCCAACATATGCCAAGAAAATTGTCTATTTTCTTATACAAAAGGTCATTCATAAATTGCACAAATTTTTCATTTGCAGTATATGAATGCATGCTGCTTGGGATCTTTCATATTTTGTTAATTATTTTACATTAATTTTTGCAGTAATTTTGCATTCAAATAAAAACTTTCAGTGTTCTAAACCCCATTCATATTTTCTATAATATGATTTTATTATGTAAATTTTGTTGTTAATAATCATGTGCTTTATGTGTTAATGCATTATTTTCTGCCATCAGTTAAGACTTGATTATGTTTATAGAAATGCCACAAATTTTGCTTTAAAGCTCACTGCTTGGCTTTATACTGGTTCTCATAGTATGTTTGCTGAAGCTATACATTCCTTGGCTGATACTGGGAATCAGGTTAGAAATAACTTAAACTTTTTAATCTATTGCCATTTTATTTAATGATGGTTTTCATAAATTAATTTTAATTTTCAGTTACTGTTGGCTTATGGTATCAAAAAGTCCCTCCAAACACCAACAGAATATCACCCGTATGTATAAAAACATTGTTTTAAAAGCATTTATTTACTGTTATCTCGAATTTTAATCTATATCTATCAGTTTGCACTTGATTTATTATGTTTTGCCATGGTAATCATCAGTAGCTCATGTTTTCTGATTTCATTTACTTTGTTGTGAATGAAATAAATAATAGAATCTGCATGGTAAAATCTTATGAACATGGATTTCAGAACGAGTAGTTATTCAATGCTACAGGTTTATCCAAAAGTCAGTGAACTTCTAAAAACAAAGTTATAAATATGAATTAATACTTAATAGTACTTCAATAAGCACTGAACTTGAAATTATGGATGGAGCTTAAGAAATTTTTTATGCAAATGTATTACAAGTTGTGTCCACCGGATTGCATTCTGTTTGAAATTATGAATATGTGTGTGTGTGTAAGCTATGTTGTATTCATTTCATTATTTTGAATATATGTGTATGAACGTATGTGTGTATATATATATATATATACACACATAATAATTTATTTACTAAAGCAGTAAACAGTAATTTACCAAAACAGTATCCTTACACTTAATAAAACTAATAATTCACAAAATAGCATAGACTATCTCGATCTTCAAATCATTAACTACAAAAAAATTTTACTTTTTGACGAAACAAGAAACTTCAGTTTCAATACTAACAAATTAATAAATGGGAATTCCAACATATCCAAAAAAGTAATTAACAATACAATAATAAATCAAATACAACGAATTAAAAATATCTGCACAGATACGATAGATCTACAACGTGAATTTGCTCCTAATACCTAATCAATTTATTAACCATTGTCTTAAAAGAGCAGGCATTAAATACTCACTCTAAATCATTTAACTGATAGGGATATGATAATTTGTTCCTAAAGCTGAGAAGGCGGTATAAGTTGGATGACTATCAATTGAAGGATTTGTACATAGTGTAATTACAAAGCTGTATATAATGTAAAAAGCTAATTGTCTTCAGACTTATGTTGTTACTAAAAAAATGGACCTATTTCATAATCTTTAGTCTGTCAAATAGCTCTTTGACAGTGAAAATTCCTTTTTTTCCTTTTCTTAATTTCTTCCTCATTACGACACGACAATTAGCCAGAAATTAATTAATTTCCATTCACTAGTATATTCAAAAATTTTTACGGACTGTTTCACTCAAATAAGAACTCCACAACATATGTCCCTCAAGCATTCCTAGTCACTCCCTTTCCCATAAATTGCTTCACACAAGTTTTGCAGACTGAAATAATTCAAAGCCCCTGCTGCCGATAAAGAATTTTGGAAACGCAACCCTTCTGAGTAAGACGCAAAGAAAACACTGCCCACTTCCCACTAGAAAGAACGTAAGTTAATTAATGCTTTTTCTGGCCTTTTATATCTTCATGTACATTCCCTTTTCTTATTATATATATTTTAAATTTCAATTTTTATTTTGTTTTGTTTTTGCAAAGATTGCATTATATTTCTTATATTTCGTAATTTTCTAATGTTTATTTCAATTACTTTGAGTTCTATTTCATAATACCAATTTCCAATTTTTTACAAATAGTTTTGAATTAAAATGCATAAACACGAGGGTGTCAGGGGACAATTGCTCAAGTAATTTATAAATTTTACTGCATAAATTACTTTTCACTCAAAATTGAATTAGCAAAAATGCTTAATCAGAATAAGTTCTTTAGTGCTCTGCATTGGTTCTTGATCCCTTCAATTCACGGAAATATTTGGCCTCACTTAAATTGCCAGTTTGGCATCGCCTTATTACTTGAGTAAAGGACGAAACACCTTCGTATTTATTTCTTAATTATTGTTCATTGAATGTTAGTTGGTTTGTTCCCCTTGAAAAGTCAACTAATTTCCGATCAATGGCAATGATTACTTTTTACAATTTAATTTCTTTTTACAATTGAATTTTGTTTTTCATGATTTAATTCAAGTCCCCGTTAAACATTTTTAACAATTTACATTCAAGTTACTTTAAAACAATTTTCGGAATTAAACTTACTAACTATGGATTCACTCTTTTTAGATAATTCTACTAAAATTAATCTTAGGAGATAATATAATCAATATTTCTTTGGTAAATAAATTATTATTAACTTACTTTGCAGCAATTGCGCAAGTAGTAGAATAACTCGATTTTGCACTAAATGAATTTAAGATTATACGCACACATACATATATAGGGTGTCTATAATTAAAGAACCCTATTTCAAAGCTGCCTACAAGCGAAACCAGTGATCTGAAAATTGTAAAATACTTTAGTGCACTTAATGAAGGGATGAGAATTTCAAATAGCATCACCAGAGGGCATCATATTAATAAATTATACAAATAGCTATACCTTTGCAATAGTTTTACAATTTTATAAATTTTGTTAGAAAAAAAACATACTCCACATGATGGCCATTATTTTCAGCAACCATCTGAAATTGCAAGATGTCATGTTCCATGGTATGTACTGGGAGATGTTTAGCACCTGCCAATAAAATACTGGCTTTAAGATCAGGTAAAGTTCTTGGATTTTTATAACTAACCAGATGTTTTTAATGTCCCCAGTACCAAAAATCTTATGGATTGCCGAGGCTGCACATTATATAAGTGCTGGCTAATGACATATTTTTCTGTAAAATAAAAATTTTGAGAAATAAAAATTTCTGTAAAATAGAAAGAACATTCATAACTCACTGTGCAATGTGTGGAGAAGCTCCCATCTTGCATAAAAATTGTGCATGCAAGGCTCCGACATGCTTGCAGAATTTCATTTTCTAACAGTGATGCATATCACTACCTGGTGATGGAGCATGTCACCGGACCTGTGGAACTTAGCTCCTCGAAGACGTATGGGCCAAGAATAAATGACGCAGAAAATCCACACCCTACCATTAGTTTTGATGAATGCAGTGGAATAAGACATGGTGTGGATTTTTCTGATTCACAAATTCGGCAATTGTGAGTATTCACTGCACGATCCAAATGAAAATGTGCTTTCTCTGTCTAGAGAATATTCCAAGGCCATTCCATATTGACCTCAAAGCAAGGAAAAACTGAAGTGAGAACCAGAGTTGAGCATCAAAATCATGTGGAAGCAACCCATGCACTAGTGTAAGAGTCATATTGGAGGATATTATGAGGATCTTACGGACAGCTGAACGTGGTCTGTCCAGCATCTCTACTATACACTGGATGCTTTTTAGTACCACTGTCTGAAGCTGGTGTCCTCTACCTGAGCCTGAAGCTGTGTCCTCTGCTCCTGTACTGCTTCTTCTGACACTTTTTTTTCCTCTTTCAGGATGAACAGAAAATGATCCTCTTTCTTAAAATTTTGTTTTCACTTTTGACGGCTTTTAACATTTACTGGACCTCTTAGAATCCTCTTCAAAACCCAAAATTTCTGTAGAGCAGCTACTGCAGAATTACTGTTTGGGTAAAATAATTTTACTTACAAAGTGCAATCTTGTAAACTTATCGTCATTATGAGCAACAAGCACATTGAAAACAAAGTCTCTGAAGGCATTTTTAGATAACAGCTGCTGCGTGATGTCGACAAAGATTTGCATTTTTACTGCAGGTTTTCAAAGTAAAACACCCTCTGGTGATGCTATTTGTAATTATTTTGTTTTGCTGAAAGAAATTCTGAACCCTTCATTAAGCCCACCGCAAAATTTCATAATTTTCTGGTCCCTGGTTTCGCTTGTAGGTAGTTTTGAAAGAGGGCTCTTAAATTATAGACAACCTGTATATATAAGCTTTGAAATTTTGTTATTCATAACTTGGAAGAAAGGCAGGCATTCTGCTGCAAAATTAATGTTCTGAATAACACGTTTCACATGTGAAAATGTTACACGTTCTTTTTGATTCTGTATGGTATGTCATGGGTATGTCAACATTTACCTTTCATCCAATTTTAGGTTATTAAGACACACCAGAACCAAGTGTTAATATTCTCTTCTATTAATATTTTTGTCGGTCTTAATGTAAAACATGGTAAAAAGCAAATTTTAATTCTCTTTTCCTTTTGGTGAACATTTTGGACCATGACTTTACTTTTTATAAATAAAACATTTTAAATTACTTTTTTGCGATTTAATTCAACAATATTTGAAACAAAAATATATGTTGTTTTATTCTGCTACATAACGTTATGATTTTTGTCTGCAGTGGCATTTAAGAAATTCCTTGCTTCCCTTTGGAACAATTAAAATTCTTTAAAAACATTTTAGGGGGGCTGATACTAACATATTTAATATTCACAGACATGCTTTTTGCCGAGGTGGCAACAATTTAACTTACAGAAAATGATGATATTTTAAGTTAGTCTTTTAGTAAAATTCTTGGCCGTTTGCATATTGGCCATAATTCACTTGGCACTCTAATAGTGACTTTTCAAGAACATTTACATTTTTGATATTGCTGCAATATGCAGAGAGCAGAGTGAAATAGCATTTTAACATCAAGTGAGGTAAAAGCTAAAGTGTGCAGTTATCCAGTATGAAAGCTAACTAAGAATAGGTTTTGGTTTAGATTGTTTATTAAGAAAAGGTTTCAGTTCTCAAAATTTTGAGTTCAGGTTCCGAATTAGCTGAGTCATTGGCATTATGCAAGCCATGTGACATAGATTGATCTAGAAATTTTTACACAGTCCATAAACGTTATTACTATTTTTATAATATATAGAGTTGGAATTATGGGCTATTGGTATAAATTATAATTTTGAGATTTTGATTCCCACTTCAAAGAGAAAAAGGCTTGGCGACAGAAAAGCTTTTAGAAAAAAGCATTCAAGCACTATCAAAACAAGGGAAATATAGTTTTGAAGATAAAAAAATAAAATAAAATTTTGATATAAATAATTTCTTAAAGTAACAAAAATTTGTCCATATCTTTTTTAACAATAAATGCGAATTGAAAATTCTATTAAAATTTTGAAAGTCTGCAAGTTCATTTGTGAAAATATTGTAAAGAGTATCCTAATTTTTTCAAGA